GACTCGATGGCACCTGACAAGACCTACTTGTGGATCTTTCCACATACTCAAAAGGCAATGAATATTCAACAATGAGGCAAGTATTTTTAAAGCTTTCACTCCTAACTTTACTTTCCACCACCTGACTGTCAAATTTTGTCATGCTTGAATGTGGTGGCTTGAGTGTTACTATAATACTAGAAGCTATGTCACCAGTATTTTAAACACCAGCAGGGTCACCCAGGGTGGGCAGGTTTCAGTAGAGCTTTACAACAGAGACAGAAGAAAGGCCTGGTGATCTACTTCCAATTATTAGCCAATGAAAACCCTCTGAGTCACAGTACTGTACAATATAGTGCAGGACAATAAGCCACCTAGGTTAAAAGCTTTGCTAATGGACCCAAACACATCCACAGTTTTGAAGACGGTAAATATTTCACTCTACTATAAATAGGGTTGCCATGAGTCACAGCCACCTCAACATTAAGTAAACACTGGAAATGTATTTTGCTAAAGTGGAAAGAAAAGTAACACAAGTACAAGTACATAGTCTAGAACAGCCTTCAAAGCTCTTACCTTAGTCTGCTTCTTCTCAGTGGCATAGACAATGGAGGTACAACAGACTTCCGAAATCTTGCGGCCCTGCCCGTAAAATGACCAGCAGCAGATTTCATCCCCAATGACATCCTTTATGAACAGGACCCTCCCGTTAAAGCGCAGAGATAGCTTATCAAAGAGTTCAATGTTTTTCAACATGTTGTCGTCAGAATTACTGTAAGAAAAACAAGTGTAAGGTGAGTAATATGTGCTTTGACATGCAGGGCCCTTCAGGCTCTCACAATCCTATGAGAGAGGCACTGCAGCCATCAGTATTCAGAGAAGGCAAGCGAGGGTCATAAAAATGAGGCAACTGCCTGAAGCCAAAAGGAATAAACAGCAGAGCTGGGTCTCCAAAATGAGCACTCTGGCTCCCAAGCCCAGGCTCCGAGCCAGTATGCTCCAGTGCCTGCTCTGCTGGGCCCTGCAGTAACCAGCTGGGACAGCCGACAGCACAGGGTCTCTTCCCAGGGGTCTGCATGTGGTGCTGAAGGATCAGCACTGGACTGCTCATCACCACCAGCCACGCCTAAGAAGTCCTACAAAGGATCACTGAGTCACAATCAACTCAACAGCAATGAACAACAACTTCCCAGGGCAGCTGGTGGGGAACACGGAGTAGAGAGGCCTACTCAGCCACATGAGTGGGCAGAATAGAGACTCATATCCTAGGTCAGTTTATGGGTAGTGAGGAAACTCATTAAATACTTCATCCTCTCCTAGCCCAAGTTCTGAATTTACAGCCACACGCTCCCCAGAGACGAAGGCCTTCTAGAAGCCTGCATACACTGTTGGTGGGCATATAAATTTGTGTACCCACTTTTGAACACTGGCAGTTTCTCAAAGAATCAAACACTGTGCTACCATTGTTGTTGTTAAGTGCCTATGTATAACAGAACGAAACACTGCCAGGTCCTGTGCCATCCTCACAACTGCTGCTATACTTGAGCTCATATGTTATTACTGTATGGCCCAGCAATTCCACTTCTAAGTAGATTCTCAAGAGAAATGAAAATATGTCTTCACAAAAACATGTACAGGTATGTTAAAGCAGCATTATTCACAATACCAAAAGATGGAAACAAGAATGCATCCAAACAGTGGATGGGTAACTAGAATATTGTATGTCCAGACAATGGAATATTATTCAGTCATAAAAAGGGAATGAAGTATTCTGATTTAAGCTTTAACTTGGAGGAACCATGAAGACATGCTGAGTAAAAGAAGCTGACAAAAGGCTACATACTGGCTGGTTCCATTCTGATGAAATGTCTGGCATATAAAGACAGGAAGTATGCTCATGGTTGCTGAGGAAATGGTGAGTGACTACTAACGAGGACAGCACTTCTTCCTGGGGTACTTTAAAAGGGTACACTTTTTATTATGACATGCGGATTACACCTTAATAAAGATACATAAATCAATATCTTAATTTTTTTGCCTGTTTGTTGTTAAGTGCTGTTGAGTCAGTTTCGAATCACACCAACCCTGTATAGGGTTTCTGAAGAGCAGCTAGTTAATGAACCGCTGATCCTGCGATTCAAACCGAACTCACGGTTCAGTGCATTATTCTGCAGCACCACACAAGGATGCCATAACAGCTTAATAAATACATATAAATAAAAGCCTTCTAGAGGTGCAGGGTGGCCACCCCTCGGCTGAAGGGAGCAAGCACTGAGGGTTTTCTGGAGAGTGCCTTACCTGGTATATGAGTATTTGTTATTACTTCTGTTGTAGAGCAGCTTCACAGCTGGCTGTGGGGGTTTAAATAAAGAAGAGAGTTACCTGGTGTGCAGAACAGTAAGCACTGGCTTCCCACAAGCTGGGCCCTCACCCGAGGCAGCAGACAGGGCTGGAGAAAGGGACTGTGTGAATCTACTCTCACCTCCTCCCCAGGCTTGGCCCAGACAATTACAGAAATTTTCACTTTAAAACTTACTCAGTAGAATCTCCATCACTTCTAGTAACAAAAGAAATCCCACAAGGGTGTCTCCAACTTACCTTATTTGAAGTTGCGATAAGTTTTTGTTCTTCCTTGGAGGAGGTGATGACAGGCACTTTGCAGAAAGGCTCGTATGTGTCTTTGTTCTGCTGGAACAAAACATACATTCAGTCTTGGAGGCCTGCCCAGCACCAGGTTTTAGAGCTGCCTACAGGGGAGAGAGACTGGTGAGGGGAGATCGACAGTCCTGGCTGGGAGGAGAGGATTCTTGCCACCAATGCATTCAGATGGGGAAGGTCAGAATTTGAGTCTTCCATGGAGTCTGCTTTCTAGCTAGGGCTGTGAGGGGCCAGGATGCTCATAGTAACAATGACTACATATTCTTCATATCCCAGGAAAGTCAGTCAAAAAGTAAATCCTAAATATGTTCGGTGAAACATGACTGAATCAAAAGCTCCTAAAGCCACTACAATCTCAGCAGAAAGAGAGAGAAAAGACTGGAATAGAAAAACAGGAGCAGCGGCATCTGCAGACATATGACGCCAACAACTCGAGGCTGGAAAGCAGATCCAGGAAGATGACAGATAACCAAGTAGACAGAAAAAGCTGAAGCCAAAGCTGGTAAATGAGAATGCATACAGGAGCAGCTCAGGAACTTCGGACTACCGGGGGTAGGGATAGATAGACCCTCTGTACCGGGCAGAATAAAGGAGCACTGTCCTTGAGTGTCTGCACAGGAGGATAGGGCCATGGTGCTATTCAGAAAACTAATGTCTACAACTGGTGAGACCTCTCTCCATATAACCACCCAAGTCCCCAACTCAAATCCCAGAATGTAGCCAGCCCGTAGTATACATATCAGGGGGAAAAAAAGCTAAGGATTCCTCTGTGGGAACCGACCTGTCCCCCCAAATCTCGGAGTCTAACATCTGGGGTCCTCCATTGAAAAAAAAAAAAGGTTTCTCATCTAACAACAAAGGCTGCTGACAGCAAGGCCCACCCATACACACACATCTTTCTAGAGCACCTTACTCCATGATGCCAACAGAAAGCTAAGGATCATCCAATTATGTGTGCTGAAATCAAATCAGAGAAAAAGTAAGGCGAAGAATCAGAAAATGAAGGAAGCAGACGAAAACTTAAAATCATTATCACCAGACAAGAGATGACACTGTGCCCTATAAAACAGGACTCACATGCTATGTAAGAATGAACATTCCGAGAACAAGCCAAAGCTTTTGGAAATTATAAATACGATAGTAGAAATGAAAGATTCAGAGAATGACTGAAGAAAAGCTTCCAAGAAAGTTAGAACAGAAAGATAAATCAATAGAAACTGGAAGGAAACTAAACTAGATTCTTTCAGGCCAGGAGGTCTAACTCCAGAGTAACAGAAACTGCAGCAGAAGAACCCAGAGGGCACATCTCCAAGACAAAAACGAAATGCAGAGGATCCCTGATGGGTCTGAACTCAGCAGCAGGAGGATTTGCTTTTCTACCTGACAAGCTGTGGTTGAATGAATGATATGAACTTAGACACCAACCCTGGAGAAGTACATGCTGCGTGGTAAAGCAGAGTGTGAGTGGAAAAGATGGACTGACATGGTGGCTTCAACAATGGGCTCAAACAACGATGACTGTGAGGATGGCGCAAGACCAGGCAACATTTCCTTCTGTCATATGTGGGTTTTACTATGAGTCACAGGTGTCTTAAAGGCACCTAACAATAACAACTTAGAAAACCAATCAAGAAAGTAATGGATTTAACTATGGCAATGAAACGATATATGATATAGAATGAATGTAAAACCAATGGTCTCTCATGTAAACTATCACATAATTCACAATAAAACATTTATTTTTTTTAAAAAAAGAAGAAAGTAATAGAAGCCATCATTAACTCTGACAAAACTAAACAGCTAAGCATGGAAGAAAATAATCATGGTGGTTCAATTGTCAACAACATTTACACTTCATGTACTGATTTAACAAAACTATAAGTTCTGGTAGCAAAGTGGTTACGAGTAGGTCTGCTAACCTCAAGGTCAGCAGTTTGAAACTACCAGCGAATCTGCGGGAGAAAGATGAGGGTTTCTGCTCCCATAGAGATTTATAGCCTCAGAAACCCTATGCAGGGTCACGATGAGTCAGAACTGACTCCACGGCACACCACCACCACCAGCATGATAACTATAGTGGAAGAATGGGAGAGGAAATATGTGCCTATAAGTCAGGTGGTAGTTGGGTAGTGGTAGCGTGTGAGCTGAATTCTAATTTTTGATGATTCTAAACATGGTATTTTCAATAACCTCATATGGATGCGAAAGCTGGACAGTGAATAAGGAAGATCGTAGAAGAATTCGTTCCTTTTAATTGTGGTATTGGAGGAGAATACTAAAAGTGCCATGGGCTGCCAAAAGAACCAACAGATCTGTTTTGGAAGAACTGCAGCCGGAGTAGTGCTCCTTTGAGGCCAAGATGGCTAAACTTCGTCTCTCATACTTTGGACATATTGTCAGGATAGAAAAGTCGCTGGAGAGGGATATCATATTTGGTAAGGTGGAGGGTCAGAGAAAAAGAGGAAGACCCCCAACAAGATGGATTGGCCAAGTCAATGGACTCAAGCATGGCAACAGTAGTAAGGTTGGCCCAGGATTGCAGTGTTGGTTCTTTTGGCAGCCCGTGGCACTTTTAGATTTGCAGAGATGGACTGGCCAGGTGGCAGCATTGATGGACTCAAGTGTGGCAGCACTAGTGAGGTTGGCCCAGGATTGGACACTGTTTCGTTCTGCTGTGCACAGGGTCACTATGAGTCGGTTTCGAATCGATGGCATCTGACAACAACAACAACAACCACAGATAAAAGTAATAAACAGAAGTCAATAAACAGCAGGATAAACAAGTTACACAGTAACAGTAAACAGTAGAAATGAGGCTGTGAGAATTGAAAGAAGTGGGGAGAGGGGGCACAGTGGTGACTTGTGATTACAACTTTGTAGTATTAAGACTTCTTAAATGATAGACGTGCATTTCTTTAATGAGCATAAAATGAAATAAAAATAAAGTGAATGCTGCATTGGATTTACATTGAGCCCCCAGGCTCTCAGGATGTGGGTAGTTGTGTGGAAACACCGTGGGTACTGCTGTAGTGGAGAGCAGAAACAGTGGTTTGGGGAGACACAAACAAGAGCCTCACACATACAGATCAAAGTCCTTGGGCAACTATACAGGACTCTTCTGATTCTTTGACATGTAGGAACTAGCATGAAGTTAACGTCCACCAGCTTCATCTATCACTTAACTTGACCCCAATGGTCCTGCCTCAGGTCCAGACTAATCTCTCCGGTGCAGGTGAGGGATGGGGGACAGAGAGATGAAACTGGCTTCCCCACAATGGAGACTCCTGGAGAGATTGTGCACATTACCGAGGTAAGACTAGAAAGGGGATCAGGTTTTACCCACCATGGCTGACTACTTAAGGGGTATAATGTACCCACCATGAGCTGACCCAACACCACAGGAACTGACCCCGTGAGAGCGAGGTCAGGTCACTGGAAGCCTCTTAGGATTCACTCTGCACAAAGGGGAACTCAGTGACTCTCACAACATCTTGGTGTGGTAGGAACTGCTCCCCTTGTATAGATGAGGAAAATACGGAAGGCTGGTGGATTTGGCGGCCCACCCCATGTGGAAACAAAGGGAGATGCCTACTTGTAAGGCTGCCTGGCACTCTTCCACCAGGCCTTGCACCAGGTAATATTTGGCTTCTGCCAGCAGCTCCTCGATCTCCCGGCGGCTCTCGGGCAGGGGGACTGCCCCATCACGAAGGTAGTTCAGTATTGTACCGAAGTGCTTCCCACACCGGTCAATGAGGATCCAGCCTGGAAGGGAAGAAGGAGGGGCTAAGTCATAAGGGTGCTGCTCCCCTGGGAGGTGCTGAGCAGAACCTTAGAGGCAGTAGTGGCTTACCCACCACAAAGGACTGCCCAGGACCTGCCCAGGCAGCAATGCCACACCTCCAGCCTATTGGCTGGACACAGTCACAACCCTTGACTCCTATGGTGTCTTGGGTCTGTGGATACCAGAGATCTAGTACTCTCAAAAATCCCTTAGACAAAAATATCCCAAGAAGGACCCAATGACCCATACCCAGATAAATTAGGTGCAAATAACCACACCCCAACAATACGGGAAAGGTTTACACAGTAAAAACATCTATTTCCTCTTTCTACAATGCTCTGTCCAGACTCATGTAGTGGAGCCATGCCTACATAAGAGCGCTGGTTCCCAAGGTGTTCTTCTGAGACCAGCAGCACCGCTACTTACTGCCTAGTCATGCCAACTGTGATAAAACAGTGAACAAGACAGAAACTGCCCTCCACCAGTTTTGTTGAATACGGGGAGAAGAACCTCGCTGCATCAGATATGGGAGAATGCAAAAACTGCTGACCAGGACAGGACCAGCACAGTAACAAATCCTTACAGGGATGCCAAGAAAGCTACACATTCTGCTTCTCAATGTCCTTGCTAGTTGTGACTTTGCTAACAGTTCATCATTTGAAATTTCGAAATTTCTCTACTGAAACGCAAATGCCCTTAGAAGTATTTGGAGGTTGGGAAATAGGACTGAAGCCTTGAAAGAGGGAGGAGGCAGGGAAAGGGAGGTAGGAATGGAGCGAAAATCAACTCTCTCTGGATAGAAAATGTGAAGCACTAGAAAAAAAAGAGAGTTAAGTGCTGGCCTTCCCAACCAGCTGGGCAACCCCAGGTGAGGGCCTTCCCTGTTGTAAATGAGTCTCCTGTTGTGAATGAGTCTCCTGTCACACTTTACAGAGGCGCTCATACCAATGCACAGGGTACTAGAAGGTTTAACCAGCTATCAGGAATTTCATGGCCCCACTATCTACTGCTCACAGGTGAGAGGAAAAAAACAAAAACAAAACCAAACCCTAACCCACAGCCAGTGAGAACTTCTGCCTATGACAAGGCCCATGTTAGACAGAGTGGAACTACTCTATAGGATCTTTTCTTGGGGCTGTCACCTTTACAGGAAGCAGACTGCCAGGCCCTATTTCCACTCCCAACACCACTCTGCTCTGCCCAGAGGTGTCCTCACATCTCCGGGCACTGGAATAGCAGCAGAGCTCACAAAAACCATGGGCAAATCGAAGGCACACGGAAACATTAGTCCAGTGGACTAATGAACCACACAAACCTCAGCTTCTATGACCCTAGAGCCACAAGAACTAGATGGTGCTCGGTTACCATGACCAACTTACTCTGAAAGGGATCACACTGGAAGATCCTGTAGAGTGGGAGAAAAACATGGGACAAAACTCAAAATCATAAAAAAAAAAAAAAAAAAAGCCCAGGCTTACTGGTTGGCTAGAGACTATGGGCCTTAGTCACCCTTCTGGACTAGAAATGAACTCACCCCGGCTCAATTTTCAGTCAAACAATAGGGGAACAGTAACATTACGGAGGTCCACACAGCTTAGAATAATCAACCATTTGAGAAAAAAAGGCAGCATTTACCCAAGGACAAAGCTCAGAAGCATTAGGAAAGGAGGGAGAGTGCCTGTGGTCCATGGGCCTTTTGTAAGAAGTTTGGCTTTGATCCTCAAGATCCTCCACTTCATATTTCCCCATTTCAGTGGAAATCCTGGTGTGCTAACCCCAACTTCAGTGGTTCAAACCCACTATGCAGCTCCTCAGAAATCCTATATAGGGTGGATATGAGTTGGAATCGACTCAAGGGCAATCACCAACATGGTTCCCTGTGGGGTTTCTGAGGCTGCAGGTGAAAAACTCTTAACTCCCAAAGAGTAGCTGGGGGCTCTGGTGGTTAGCAGTCCCACTTGTAACCCACTACATCACTAGAGTTCATGTGCTCTATAGTGGGTATGGTCCTGAGTACAGCAGGGAAAATCCCCAAGCAGGCAAACACAATGCAAAATGTGAATCAAAGCCTGGTTTCATGGAAGGAAGAGTCTTCATAAGTTTGGTAAATCATATCACTTCTGACTGATCTTGTGGATTTTCTTTCTTCCCCATTCTTTCTACGTTATGCTTAGACCCAGCTACCATTACTGAATATGTTCATCGAAGACTCAGTAGATAGATCCTGATCAAATGTAGGAAAAATGTAGAACAAAATTTCAAATTAAGTATCCAGGTCTATGGTGATCCCATCCTGAATGTGGTTAATCTCATCTGATCTTGGAAGCTAAGCAGGGTCTGTAGTAATTAAGTGGGAGAAGAATACTGAAAGTATTCCGGACTGCCAAAGGAACAGACAAATCTATCTTGGAGGAAATATAGCCAGAAGAATGCTTGAAGCTAGGATGGACAAACTTTGTCTCTCATGATACACTGAACATGTTGTCAGGAAGGATTAGTCCCTAAGAAAGACATCATGCTTGGAAAAAATGGAGGCTCAGAGAAAAAGAAGAAAATCCCCAATGAAATGGACTGACACAGGCTCAAACATAACAACAAATGTACAAATGATGATGCAGGACGAGAAGTGTTTCGTTCCATTGTGCACAGGATCGCTAGGAGTCAGAACCAACTGGACGAGCACCTAACAGCAATCTAGAATCCGGTGATAATCACTACATCTTAAACTGAAACAAACTATCCCCTGAAGTCATCTTTAAACCCAACACCAGTATAGGTCAATTAGCAAACACAGTTTGCCTTAAATAGTGTGCTTCTTTAAAAAGCTGTTGATCTGAGGTCAAAATGACAGCACAGCACAGAGGAGACATTTAGGAGGTAGTGAGTCTACGATGATGGGGATGAATGATTGGGGTGGAGATGACAAGAATGACAGCTGACAGCAGTGTGAAGAATGTAGCCATTGTCACAGAATTGTACAGGGAGAAATTGTTGAATGAATGGATGTTTTGCTGTGTATTTATTTTCACCCAAAAGAAAATACAAAAAAGGAAAAATATCCCTTCAATTGCTTTCAGAACTCAGGTGCCTACAGAGACCAGAGGCACACAGCCTACAACCATGCGAGGGGCAGGGTTGAGGAGACTGGCTTACCTACAGCATGTGCCTAGGCAGGAATGTGAGTCCAGTGCTGCTTAAAAAAACCTGTTGCCGGTCAAGGTGATTCCAACTCTTAGCACCCCTATAGTGCTGTCAATTGGGTTCTGACCCACAGAAACCCTGTATAGGGTTTCCAGGGATGACTGGTTGGTTTGAACCGCCAACCTTACCGTGAGCAGTCCAATGCTTACCCTAGAGCACCACACCAGGACTCCATAGTGTTGCTTGTTGCTGTGAGGCGCCACTGAGTTGGCTCTGAGGCTGAACAGAACAAAAACACTGTCTGGTCCTACAGCATCCTTACAATTGTTGCTCAGTGCAGTCTAGTTTAGTTTCTGGTTTTGCAGGTAAAGCTGGAAATCCAGATTTTTATGTGGTAAACTGACCTCCCAAAAAAAGATTTTAATCTAAAAAACTGTCTTTAACCCACCATGGGGCAAATAAAGCATACGTGCAGATTCAATTAGGCCTCTGGGACACAAACTTTTCTTCCAAAGAGCTCAAAGTCTTCCCAACAATTTTTATATGGGGAGGCTCATTCCCCTATATTTTCCACAGATTAAAACAGAGACTCAAAGAGGTTGTTACAACTCCAAGTGAAGCAAGCAGGACTCGACCACAAAGCCCACAAAAGTAAGGAACTTGTGGGAAAACTCTTTTGACCAGAATTTTGAAGAAAATTAGAAGATCAGTTTTTAAGGGAAGGGAAGCATCAACCATATCACCTGGTCATTGAGCTCAGCTGCTGGGAAAGAGTGGGGGCCCTTGAAACCAATTATCCCAGTGACTACCCTGACTTTCCATAAACGAACAAGCGGACTCATGATACTGGGCTCCAGCTCAATAATGCAATCAGGAAATGCTTGAGGCGAAGGAATCATACTTTGGACAAATAAGGGCAAAGGAGCCAGGCGCACTGCCCATGAGGTTTTCGTTAGCATTCTGATGTTAAAATATTTGAGTTGCTTTCAAAGCAGGAATCTATCCCTTTGAAATAGTTCATCTGCCTACCAGGGAGAAAAGCAAATGGAAGTCAAGCAGCTCCTTTCATGTGGTAGTATCTTTTCTGCTTGCCTTGGAACACACTGGCTATTTAGGACCACGAAAATGATCAACCAATAGCATTACTATCAGAAATAAGCAAAATTTTGCTGATGGTAATTCAGAGAAAGTAGCTTAAACAGAACAAGGATATACTGCATGGCTTTAAAATCAATCTGTATGTTGAGCAAATAATCTAAGAACCTGGATTGTATAAGAAGACCATGGCATCAGGATTAGAGGAAGACTCATTAACCACCTGCAATATGCAGATGGCACACTCTCGCTGAAAATGATGACTTGAAGCATTTACTGATGAAGATCAAAGACTACAATCTTCAGTAAAGACTTTCACACCTCAACGTAAAGAAAACAAAAATCCTCAAAACTAGTACAATAAACAACATCATGATAAAGATTAAAGTTCTCAAGAATTACATTTTACTTGGCTCCACAATCAGTACCCACTGAAGCGGCTACAAAATGTTAAAATGTTATGTTAAGCATCGTTGAGTCTCAGTATGCGGTTTCCAAGGAGCAGCTGGTGAACTTGAACCAAAGGCCTCCCAATTCAAGTGGGCTTTGCAGTCCAGCGCATTAACCAACAGAACCACAAAGAACTCTTTAGAGTCAAAAAGCAAAGATGTCACTTTGATGATAAAGACATAATTGACCCAAGCCATACGTTTACAAGTCACATCATATGCAGGGGAAAACTGGATAACTAATAAGAAAGATCAAAGAAGAATTGGTAGATTTGAATTATTAAGTGAAGAATATTAAACACATCAAGGATTGCCAGAAGAAAACTAAATCTGTCTGGAAAGAAATATATTCAAAATGCTTCTTTGAAGTGAGGATGGCAAGACTTTGTCTCTTGTACACTACACATGTTATCAGGAGGGACCAGTTCCTAACAAGGTAATCATGCTTGGTAAAGTAGAGCATCAGCGAAAAAGAGGAAAACCCTCAATAAGATGGAACGGCACAGTGGCCGCAATATGGGCTTGAACATAGCAATGACTGTGGTCATGGCACAGAAACACTTCCATAAATGTCAATAGTGTTGCTACCTCATGGCAGAGTCACGGTGCAAGTACAGGTCTGTCTGACCCCAACACCTGTGTTCTTCTGTTTAGAAACCACAGGCACATAGTACAAACCTTACACTTTAAACGGGCAAAAGGACATGGAAGGAAAAGGGAGAAGGTTCTGTCCACACTGGAACCCAAGTCCACTCCCAAGAAGCAACAACTTTCTCTAAAAGCAAGCACTTGTAGAGATTTCTAGCTGCTACACAATACACAAACTGTTCTGTGCCTTTGTTAAATCCTTTGTTCTCTAACCACCAGGCTATTCTGCAGGAGTCCCATATCTGGTGGGATTGTATTTGGCATTTCTGCCTGCTTTTAGCAAATTAAGAAAGTCACTGGGTAGTTCAAATAGTTTGACAAGGTTGGTGATTTGAACCCATCCAGTAACAACACGGAACAAAGGCCAGGCTATGTGCTTCCAGAATGATCGCTGCCAAGAAAACTCTCCAGAGCTTACTTAGCTTGCCTTGGTAATATGCATGTGATGGCCATGAGTTAGAACCAACTCGTGGTTGTTTTGGTAGCAAATTTCACTGCAGATGACAGGCTTCCTCAGTGGGGTGAAGTGTAGGATTCCAGAAGTCCATTCCCATCTGTAGACCTAAGGGTATGCTTCAAGCAACATTTAGGCCATGGGTCAATTGGGGCTGTTCTGCCTGGCAGAGTGGTTGGTTAGAAGACACCCTGATCTGACAGCCCAAGCCCCCCAATGTCCCCCTGAGGGCTTCAGCATGCAGGAGGCAGCTAAACCAGAAGACTGTCACACTCAGGCAATCTGACTTAGGAGCTGACTACCTGCATCCAACTAAAACAGCAGAAGGAAAAAGCAGCAACCTGGGTACAGTGGCTTCACCTTTTCTAACTCGGTAGCTTTTGAAAAAAAGCACTTCACCTTATGAAATGTAACAGTACCTACCCTTCAAAGTGCTGTGATGAGAACTAAATGAAATAGACCTATAAAAGGACACACTGCGAACCTCTCAGTAGTGATAAGGTCGTGAAGGAGGTGCTCTGAGGACATGGAAATAGAGTCTAGGTTTGGAGGATCAAAACTGTACCGCTTTCTCTGGAGATAGCAATGGGGATTTCCCATGTCACACTGGGGAAAGGAAATCCCTTAGTGGACTTGAGGACACGCAAGTGGTCCCCCTGCCACTACTGGTACCCTCCTTCCAGTGACCATGGAGACACAAGGACTGTCAATGAGCAGGGGCTTCCCCTTAGCTTTCAAACTACTTCACTGCTCTTCCTGAGCCCCGCCAGAGACTGGATTGTTGTTAAGTGCCATCAAGTTGGTTCCGACACATAGTGACCCTGTATAATAGTTTCAGAGGAGTGGTTGGTGAGCTTGAACTGCTGACGTGTGGTTCACAGTCCAGTGCTTACCCTACAGCGTCACACCAGGAGACCTTAGAGACTGGGGAGGGTGGAAGAAAACCACATAATCTCAGAGAAAGTCTGTTTCCTTCTGCAGCAGGGGTGCTATTGTCTTGATTTCCACAAAGACTCCAGGGCAGGGCTGGGTGTGGCCCAGAAAATGAGATCCTCCCCTTCATACAAAGCTCACCAGCTCAGAGATAACAGGGCTGGGGTTCTGGCCTCACTCATAGCAGCGCAGTTAGGTCTGAACCCTGAGTTCACAGGAAGCCCAAGGAGGCGGAGGTCTGCAGCTGTGCAGCCTGGCATTCTCCAGGATACACACAGAGGAACACGCCCTAATTAGAGGACAGCCCAACCTTTCAGCCCTTTAAAGATTGGATTATGAACTGTGCCACACCAGGCTCCAAACAAACCAAACCCATTCATAGGACAGGGCAGAACTGCCCTATAGTGCTTCCAAGGCTGCAGGATGAACACTGGGCTGGTAATAACAAGGCTGGCAGTTCAATCCCAGCAGCCACTCTCAGAAGCCCTACACAGAGTCACTGTGAGTCAGGACCAACTCAATCACACTCAACAATCTTTACAGAAGCAGGCTGTCACATCTTTTCCCCAAGAATAGTTTGTGGGTTCGAGCTGCCAACCTTTCAGTTAAGCACTGCACCCATCAGGGCTTCCTTCCTTACATCACTCAGAGCCCTAATTCTGTAACATCCCTGAAAAGGCAAGGGCTTCTGCACAGGAGGTCAAATCTCAAAAGCACATGTGGTAGGGCCAAGGCCAGGCCAGGCTGTGAACAGGTCTAGTCTGAAGGTGCCCCAGGCAAGGACTGAAGGATGGGCCACTTTTTAAACCTCATGTGACTACGCTGTCAACCCAGACAAGTAAGAACAAAGCCCTATGCCAGGTGCTCTTTGGCTCTTCCAGGTAGGTAGGAAGTAGTTACAGCAAAACCACTTCACACAATTCGCCTTTCACTAATATGCCTTTCCACCAAAAGGAAACAAACTGCGAAGACTTGTCTGTACACACCAACTATTCACCATATGCCTGCAATCCATCATTGTCCACATTTTACAAAAGAAAACAGCACACCAAAGGTTAAACAACTTGGTTAGGCCACAAGAAACTAAAGGGTGAGCTGAGATTTTGGACAAGGCTACCCCCATGCCCATCTCTTTCAGACTAAACATGGTCTCTCTGAGTGTCCAATCGCTCCCTAAGAGCCTATCCCCTGAACTAGGCTGGGGGTCTACACTACAAGCATATCACCAGCACGTGGCACTTAATTAAGCTTACCTTCACTGTCGGTGAGCACCTCCATGCGCCCACTGAACATGGCCTTCAGCATGGTGTCCTGTTTGGTCAGTGTCTGCATGGTGGTGTAGTACAGGGCCCCACCCACGTTCAGCTTCACGTACTTGGAACTAGGGCTCGTGCCCTTGAAGGCAGTGGTGCGGGTAGCAGCTGCGGGCACCGCTGAGCTCACCACACTTTCTCCTGACATCTCTTCCTGCCAGTGGAGAGGACAGAGTCACGACACCAGGCTCAGAGCCCCAAAGCTTACCTCTTTCCATCTGTGGGCAGAATCTGACCTAGTCATGCATCTTGCTTGGTCCACATACAATTGCATTTAAAACTTAAAAGTTTATTCCCTAAATTGACAACTCTGGTGATTTCACAGACAAATCTGGATTTCTGGTTTGTCTCGAAATCAGAGGTCAAGGTTGGTCAGCACAGCAACAATTGGTGATGGGGGACAAAGGGACTGGCTGCCCCCTGGAGAGGTAAACATGCTCTCCAGTTTGCTCTACCACCTTAGACAGCCTAAGATGCTGGCCTTGCCTGCTGCCCTTTGGGCAGGCGTTTGCCACAAACTCTTGTGATACAAGGACTTGCTTTCTACTCAACACCCACATAAAGGAACTCCTTGGCTGCATCCCAAAGCAGCACTGTCCGGGTCTCTTCACATGCCCTTATTGCCATGTGTCACCTCTCAGCTGAATTGTTGTTCAAAGAGCAACCCTGCATAGTTTCCAAGGAGCAGCTGGTGAGCTTGAACAGCCAACCTTGTGTTTCAAACCAACTTTGCAGTCCAGCACGTTAACCCACAGCACCACACCCCAGCTGAATTATAGGTGGTCATATAGGATCGCAACTACAATGACCAACGTTGTATGGGGAGCATGTTATTTGTGAGGACTAAACACCAGACTCAGAAACTCTTGGATTCGAGTTATTGCAAAATTTGATACCTCCTGTCTAAGCACTGTCCAAAACAGCAAGATCCTAAGAGATGCCCTAAGAGCACTGCCAACTTTCATGTCAACTGAAGAATGAGAGAAGGCATCTGATGTACACACACCCTAGGAAAGAGACATGGCATATATACTAAAAAAAAAAAAAAAAATTATTTGAGGGAATAGGTAAAATTATACACCTGAAGATGTGCAAGAGTGTGATGAATCTTTACGGATTCTAGGGCACATACTGGGAATGAGAAAAGTAGCCCCTGGCAGCCAGGAAGTAGGCCTTGGTGTTCCCACCAAACAGAAAGGACTTCACATAAATCACCAATCAGATAAAGCTGCTCGGTGACTGTGATGGATCAAGACAAAGACAGGGTCCACTTGGTGATCAAATCTCCCCATATTCGTACTCCGTGCTTCTCCAGTCGACTTGAACTCACAATAGCCCTTTAGGACAGAGTACTGCTCCATAGGTTTTCCAAGACTGCAGATATTCATAGGAGATTAGTACATCCTCCTCCCGAGGGGCAGCTGGTGGGTTCAAACCACTGACCTGTGGCCAGCATCTGAGCTTTAACCACTGCATCACCGGGCTGCTTCCCTCATCAAATCAGACAAAAACAATAACACTGTCTAATACACAAACATTCTCCTATCCTGGTTAATATGCATGGCGATTATTTCTTTACTAATAATAGCTTTAGCCTCTCGTCTTCCTGAAGCAGTCCCTGATTGGTGTAAATGGTTAAAGCACTCAACTTCTAACCAAAACGTTAGTGGTACCTCAGAAGATAGGCCTGGCAATCTGCTTCCAAAAGGTCACAAACTTTAAAACCTGTGGAGCAGTTCTACTCTACACACAGGGTCATCAGTCAGAATCAACTCAACAGCAACTAGCAATAGCAGCCCTCTTCCTGCCTTCAAGACAGAAATCATCAAGATACCAAAACACAGAACCGCTTCTGCTTTCAGAAAGTATCCAATACAACCAACTCAAGCCCAAACCCTATTATAAATCCTTCCTAACACCGTTTCTAAAGAGCTCTGGTAGTGTACTGGTTACGAATTGGGCTGTGAACCTTAAGGTCAGCAGTTCGAAACTACCAGCAGCTCTGCACGAGAAAGATGAGGCTTTCTGCTTCCGTAAAGATTTACAGCCTCGGAAACCCTGCACAGGGTCGCTATGGGTCAGAACCGACTCAACAGCACTTAACAACAACAACACCTTATGTGGAGTCCTGATGTGGCGCTATAGGATAAGCACTCAACTATAAAGTTGGTGTGAACTGCAAGGTCTGGAGTTCAAACTCATCAGGCACTCCTTGAAATCCTATGCAGGGTCACTAGAGTTGGAACCAACTCCACAGCACCAACAGCACCCTTTCTGGAGTCCTGCTGTGGCACTGTAGGATAAGCACTGTACTGTTAGTCGCAAGATCGAAGGTTCATACCCACCAGCCACTCCTTGGAAACCCTGTATAGGGTACCCTTACTGTAAGTTGGAACTGAATGGACACACTTACACAACAATAACAACATATAACACACACCCTTTCTAAGATACTGTTTCCCATGTACTGTGTCCTCCCTGAAGGCAACAAGTAAACCCCACAACTGTCTGACTACAGGCTGTGCTCCTGCTGAATTTGGACTGCAGGACACAGGCAACATAAAGCTGGG